GAAGGAATAGTTAAATAAACATTCTTTCTTTTTCAACCTCTACAGTGGCTTTCAGGTAATATCAAAATCAAATCAAAAGGCACAATTAGTAGCTTAAAGGATCAAATTTGTGGTAAAATATAACTTTCTTGATTTGCTTTTGTAGACTAAGATCTGTCGTTGGCCATTATTGACACTTACGTATTTAATACTTTAAATAATTTTAAGCTATTCTGGGCAGTTGAAAAATAGAAAACTTTCCATGGTACCAGAAAATGAATTTCATCACAAAGATCTTCGTCCAACGAATGTAGTTGCTGCACTTGTTCAAAATGTCTCTGGTGGTGTTGGACTAACTTCGTCTCTCTCAGTAACTGCAGCTAAAGTGGAAGAAAGCTGTACTGAGGACACTGGTATGCCATTTTTAAAACCTTGGGGAGAAACAAATTAACGTATTAAGTATTTAATGAAATCCCAACATTATTGAATATTTTGTGTCTATTAACTCTATATGGATACAAATGAAAAATTAATGGGTAGTGACCTATGTGTCTCACAGTATTTATGTAATCATGTCAACTGATTGTTCATTTTCTATTTTATTGGAATCTTAGAATAGTTTGCAGTACTACAAGCCTTTATTGAACATCTGCTTATAGGTTTCTGGGCTGTGACCTGAGAAAGTTAGAAAGATAGAACACAATCATAGATTACTGTAATTCACAATATTATATAACGTGTATGTATGGAAAAGAAATATGTAAAGTCAGGAGAGAAAACTCAGAATGGAGTACTGCTTGGAAGACACTCCCTCTGGAGTGTTAACAGTTGTGTGTCCCATTGTTAAGTTAGGTATCATTCAGAGGAGACTAAATTAGACAAAGGTCTCAAGGAAGTGGTCTTTGATGGCTTGATGCAGGAATATATATTATTTATCTTAGAGAAGAGATTCATGTATCAGTCACATAATTGTTGTCTTAAAATATTTGAAATGGTAACATTATGAACAAGACTGCAAATGTTGTGCAAAAGGTAGAAGAGGAAGGTGCAAAGAGTCTCACATTGCCAAATGCTTATTGGATATCTCAAACCCAACATGCTTCTTGTCACTTAAGCCTGGATAATTGTAAGAACCTTCTGGTTGATATCCATCAGTCAAATATTTTCCTAGTCCAGTCTACAAGAAGCCATTTTTGAAGCACAGATCTGCCTTGGCAGCTACCTATTTCATTAAACTCATGTGGCTCTCATTTATCTTCAGGTTCAAATA